CAATCTGCTCGAACTCACTAACTAACTCTAGCGCCCTCCGCGCTCTCTCGCCACCTCGGATCGCAACGCCCGATCGGTAAACGTGCGCCTCCTATACCGACGCAAATACTTTGAAATCGCATCCTCACGGCGGTCACGCGTGAACATCCCGCCGGCCGTTGAAGGTTGGATCCTTCAACTATTACTTGCTACATGTATTAACCCTTATAGCTAAAGTTAAGTTTCAATCGGAAGAATACAAATCTTATTGATAGCGCGTTTGGTTATGCCATTCAAAGTTCTTATGCTAACTACACGTACATAGCCATCACTGCCGGCATGAGTTTCAATGATTCGGCCTGTACGCCACCTCAGTGGAGGTGAATCTTTATCTTTCAACAAAACTAGTGCTCCGATCTTGATTTCGGTGTAATTAGGTTTTTGCTATTTATAACGGTTCTGCAGTTGTGTGAGATATTCGCAAGACCAACGATTCCAAAAATTCCGACGCATTTGTGACAGCAATTGGAATCGTGTTAATCGGTTCGTGGGTGTTTCGGTAAGGTCGGGCTCTGGGAACGAATTTAAAGGCTCACCGATGATGAAGTGTCCAGGCGTGAGTACGTCATAATCGTGCGGATCGTTAGAGACTGGACAGAGTGGACGTGAATTTAATGCAGCTTCGATTTGTGCGAATATCGTACTAAGTTCTTCGAACGTTAGGAGGTTGTTACCAATGACTCGTTTCAAATGGGTTTTTGCAGATTTCACGACCGCTTCCCAGAGTCCGCCCATATGCGGAGATTGTGCAGGTATGAAATGCCACTGCACTGATTGGTCTGCTAGAAAACGTTCAATGTTCTAGCGATCCTTTCTTAACATGTTAGAAAGAGCTTGTAATCCATTGTTTGCGCCTATAAAGTTCGTGCCATTTGTCCGAAAACAAATTGGCACATCGACCGCGCCTGGCTGTAAATCGTTTCAACGCATTGAGAAACGCTGTAGTTGTCAAGTCGCTGACCAATTCTAAATGCGAGGCTTTTGTGGAAAAGCATACACAAGTAGGCCTTCCCGGTTTTGTTTCGCGACAATTTTATAGGAAACGGTCCCGCGTAGTCTAATCCCGAGTTGAGAAACGCTCGGTGTGGTGTTACTCAGGGTTTCGGCAGGTTCCCCATGAGTTGTGTTTGGTCGTGAAGGCGCACGCGAAAACACGCGATACATTTACGGAGCGTTCGTCGAATCGCTTGACGTCCCGATATCGGTCAGTACCTACAACGCAGGTGCGCAAGGAGACCTGGAGGCCCTATATGCATTTGTTTTAGATGTGAATCTCGAATGATCAAACCGGTGAGTTGATGCTTGGCAGGTAGTATTATTCGATGTCGCCTCGCGTGTTCTGTGTCCGCGTGACGAAGCCTACTTCCTACACGTAGAAGTTCCGCCTCGTCTAAGAAAGGATTCAACGAAAGGAGCTTGCTCTTTCTCGATATTTCCCGTTTCGTTTGAAGATCTGTAATCTCCGTGGCGAATTCATTCAGCTGAGCCATTCGCGTGAGTGATAACATTACTCCGTCTAGCTCTTCTACTGATAGGGGTCCGGTAAGTCGCCTTGCCTTTGCACGCGCATTGGTCTTGAATCGTAAGCAGTATGCTACAATCCTCTTGAGCTGAAAGAGCGATGAGAATCTTGGTAATAAATTGGTGTCCAGGGGAACGCCGTGATAAGCTACCGCTTGCTTCTTGAGTTCAGGTATTTCCGGGCTGCTTGACCCGGGTTCGATCGGCCAGTCCTGTCGGCCTTGTGTTAGCCAGAGTGGTCCCGTCCATCACAAGGACGAAGTTTTCAGATTTCGTGGAGTTGTGCCTCTGGAAATAATGTCAGCTGGGTTGTCCTTGGATCGCACATGTGACCACTGCACGTCTGGTGCTGTGCGCTGTATGGTGGCCACCCTGTTCGCGACAAACGTTTGTAGTTCTCCCGGATAATGCTTGATCCACGCCAATGTTATGGTTGAATCATTCCAATATTGAATATGATCGAACTTGATTGCTAGAGCTTGTCGCACAGTTTCTCCAAGTTTGACGAGCAGCAAAGCTCCGCATAATTCGAGTCGCGGTAATGTGATATTCTTGAGGAGTGCGACCCTTGATTTTGCACAGAGTAATCGTGTGATGACGTCTCCTGTAAAATTAATGCTTCGTATAAAAATGCAAGCGCCGTAAGCAGCTTCTGAGGCGTCGCAGAAACCATGCAACTCTATCGTTTGCGGTTCTTTACACATGACGTGCCGTGGAATCGAGATTAATTCCATCTCATTCATCTGCTCTTGATATTGCCTCCAGGTTGTGTATAAATTCTGCGGAAGAGATTCGTCCCATCCGATTTTTAATTGTCAGAGCTGCTGAAGTACGATCTTGGCACGAATGATTACAGGACCCATTAGCCCTAACGGATCGTATATTTGAGCAATAGTCGATAACACCGTACGTTTCGTTGTACGCTGATTTCCCTTTATAGTGTGCGTCCGGTACTGGAGACAGTCGTCGGTGGTGTTCCAGCCGATTCCTAGTGTCCTGATCTCGTCACATCTTGGTAACGCCTGGACGTCCGAAGACGCATCAAGGATCGTGGGCTCGTTCGTGTTCCACTTGTGAAGGCAGAATCCTGCAGATTGTAACATCTCGGTTAATTCATCTTTGAGCTGACGTAATGCGTTTATGTCGTTGCCGCCGGACAACAAGTCGTCAACGTAGAAGTCATTACGAAGGACTCTGCTTATTTCAGGATATCGGTCTTGGTTTTCGATTGCGATCTGATGCAAACATCGAATGGCCAGGAACGGTGCGCTGGATAGGCCATATGTAATGGTATTAAGACGATATTCCTGGATAGGCTCGCTCGACTCTTGCCTCCATAGTATTCTCTGCAAGTCTCGTTGATCTTCTTGCACACGTACTTGTCGGTACATTTGTTTAATGTCTGCTGCAATGACAAATCGATGTTGACGGAATCTCAAAATTATGGAGAATAGATCTTGCTGAATGGTAGGCCCGATGCGTAGTATATTGTTGAGTGACACTCCTGACGATGTAGGGCACGACGCGTCAAATACGACCCTGAGTTTCGTGGTCGAACTGTCGGGTTTTAAGACTGCCTGATGTGGCAGGTAAATAATTATCCCCGATTCTTCCTGATTCGAGACTTTGGTCATGTGCTTTAATACTTCGTATTCTTGCATGAATAGCTCGTATTGTTGCTTTAATTCTGGTGATTTCGCAAACTTCCGTTCCATGCATTGTAGTCGCTTGATGGCAATTTTTCGCGAGTCTCCTAATCGATTCACGCTGTCACATAATGGTAATCGAACTTCGAAACGTCCTTCCGCGTCGCGTTTGTGCGTTCGAGTGAATTCCTCTTCGCAGATCCTGTCGTTCTCTGATAATTCCGAAGGGGTATTGCCTTCTTCTACTTGCCAGAAGCGCTCCAATTGCGTTTCGAGTGTGACGGTATTGGAGACGATAGATACAGATGCGAATGAACTTTCGGACGACCTTTCGAGGCCTAAAGGTCCAGCGATGATCCAGCCTAATTTCGTTTTCTGTGCAATTGGCTGATTTTTTCCCAATTTGATCTGGCCGACGCCTAGTAGCTCCCAAAATATGGCACTTCCTAATAATACGTCTATCTTTCCAGGCGTGTGAAACGATGGATCGGCTAAAGTGATCGTCTCTGGTATCTGCAAATGCTTCTTGTTGATCTCCGACAAGGGGAGATTGACTGTGATTTCGGGTAATATCGAGAAAGTGAGCTTAGCTTTGAAAGCGTTGAATTTGGATTGTATTGTAGCGTGAGTCTCTGTGAATGTTGCTGTCTGAACGTTGTCGACGCCGCGGATCTGCATGTAATTTCTTCTCTGTGGAAGGCCTAATTGTTCACAAAGCTCTTTCGTCATAAAATTGGGTTGAGATCCAGGATCGAGGAAGGCGCGACATTCTCGAACGCTTCCTCTGCTGTCTTGTATGTTGATAATCGCCGTTGCTAGTAACCCACGATCGCTGAGACGAACGGCATGATGCGCCACGCTTGTTGATGGTGACTCTGTAAGCGTCTGCGACTCGGTGGTTATGGTTCGGCTATTATTTCCAGACTCTGCACCTTCGCCCTTTGAGATGTGCAGCAACGTGTTGTGTTTCTTGTGACACAGTCGACATGTACCGGAGCTGCATGACTCGACGTTATGACTGCCCTTAAAACAATTGAGACACAACTTTAAGCGTTTTATTTCTTTACCTCTCGCCTGAGGAGTTAAATTGAGGAAAGTCGGACAATGAATATAATCGATGCTTTCCCTGACTGCATGCTAAGCATTCGTCTGGTCTTGCCTCGGCGGTTACCGCCGCAACTGATTTTTTATTCACGTTAATGGACTTAGGATCATTACTTTGCGATTTCGCAGATTTTGATTTGTCGAGTTGTAACGTCTCTAGCATTACGCACCGATCGATAGTGAAATCGATGAATTGCTCATATGTCGCGACCTCTCTGGCAGATGCTTTGTTTTCCCATTCGCGTTTTGTGATATTATCGAACTTAGCGGTTATTATATGGACGAGAATGGTGCCCCATTGTCCCGTGGGCTCGCCAAGCTTTCTTAGGGCGCGAACGTGTTTCTCGGTATGATCTAACAATTGACGCAATCCCGCGGACGACTCCCTTTGCATTACGGGAAATTCTATCAACGCTTGTATGTGATGATGAACTAAAACGCATTTGTTCTCGAAGCGATTCTTAAGGATATTCCACGCGACCTCATAATTGCCGGCGGACATCTCCATGGATTCCAGAATATCCGCTGCTACACCCTTGAGTGCTAGCTTTAGATAATATAGTTTTTTGATATCGGATAGCTGACTATTTTCGTCGACAACCGCTTTAAATATATCTCGGAAATTCGGCCACTGATCGTAGAATCCAGTAAACGTCGGCAAGTTAATCGTTGGTAACTTTATCCGATTGACGGAATTGCTTGCGTCGCCATTACCGTCATTATTGACATTCCGGACTTCCTGCGCGTCCGTTCGCCTTCTCCCGTACTGTGCGATAAGCGCTTTAGCCGTTGCGGACGTCGCGTAATATTCGGCCTCGAATAATTCGCGTTCGCCATCGTGTTCTGCGTCCGCGTCTAGATCCTCGAGAGCGTCTTGCGTTTTGCGAAATTCGTCCCACGCGCATTGTATCGCGCTTAACCTAACCTCTACTTCCTCTATTTGCTGATTCTGTATGTCAAAAACCCTAATCCAATTACGCGCGAGTGTCAATTGCGCCTTGACTCTGCCGCGTGCCTTCACAAGCTTTGCTTTTTCCGCAATCCATTGCGATTCGTGTCTCCGGGCTCTAGACTCGCGAATTCGATGGATCGAAGGATTAGTTATACTTAGCTTGCGTGTCGAAGCTTGGGATCCTGGGTGAATTCGCTGAATTGATGCTTCGTCTATCCTCTTAACCTTCCTTTCAGACGTTGCTTCCCCGTCCGTGTCGGTCGATCTCGTTGCTTTGTTATCCAGATTTCACTTGCTTGTGAGCGATCCGGCTCGAAGGACCATTTGTTGCAGCATGAAAGAAGTGCTTCACGTATATCCTTTCTCCTCGCTTTATTTTCTCATACTCAAAACAAATATCTTAACTGCTAAGCGTTTACGTGCCGCCGCTGCTGACAACAACAATCTGCTCGAACTCACTAACTAACTCTAGCGCCCTCCGCGCTCTCTCGCCACCTCGGATCGCAACGCCCGATCGGTAAACGTGCGCCTCCTATACCGACGCAAATACTTTGAAATCGCATCCTCACGGCGGTCACACGTGAACACCCCCTCTGTCCCCTTCAACTTTTGTAGAGGCCATTTTTTTATATCATTCATTTTGACAGAGGTACCTGCGTGGTCGGATTAAAATGAAACGCATTGTATATATACAGTGATGGGAGAAAGTTCGGCAACGGTCAAATATCTTGAAAAATAATGCTTATGGAAAAAAATGTTCAATACAAAAGTTTTAGTATATCAAGTGGTCTATTATATGGTTATGTTG